TACAGTATACTGTATAAGCATGTTTAGAATTATGTACTGTATGTATATATGTATGTTTGTACATACGTGTTAATGTGTATTATTGTGTCTGTGTGTGCGCACACAGGGTGGTGAAATGCGTCTAGTGAGGCAGCCTTATGCACCCCTAAGGTTCAAGCTACCGCCGCTGGCTAGCCCTTATGGTGAACAGGGAAGCAACTTGCATAAGTCTTCCCCTGCCAGTACACAGCCTCTCCACCATCAAGACTCCTACTGTGCCTCCTCGTGGCAACACACGGTAACACGCTTCTTCTCGCGGGAGGTATCAGCTTTGGTCCGAGACTGAGGGTTGTTCTGCCAGTCTGTGAGAGCAGCACAGTTACCATCGACGTTACTTCGATTTCCTGATTGTTTTCACCAACCAGTCCTGGTGTTTTCTCTCGATCCGGCCGAGTGGTCGCTGCAGGTTTTTGTGCTGACAGCTTGGATGGGACCCCATTCGGGACTCTGATTTAGATTGTTTGTTGTCGGGTTATCGGGTTGAGTTGCTCTCTGAAGGCATGTGCTACTGCTGGATCCTCCAGACGCTTTGTTTTAAAACCTCTTCTTTAGGCTTGTTGCCTTGGCCGTTTTGGGGTGACGTGAAGTGGTGTCTTAGATTTTCTCTGACGAGCCGGTGATCAGTGTCGCAGTGGTCTGAGCCACACATGGCTCGGGCGATGAGGACGTCTCGGCGATCTCTCTCTCTGACAATGTTGTAGTCAATGAGACACACGCGGTACTTGTCTGAGTTATAAATAAATTCTGGTAGGTAGAGACTTTATAAGAGTGACTATTAATAATGACAGCTAGAGCCATGAACCCTTCCTTCCCGAGAGCTGTTCACGGTGGTGGTGGTGGGTGTGGGGTGTGGTGGTGGTGTGTGTGGAGTGTGGTGGTGGTGGTGGGTGTGGAGTGTGGTGGTGGAGGTGGTGGGTGTGGAGTGTGGTGTGTGGTGGAGGTGGTGGGTGGTGGTGGTGTGTGGTGGAGGTGGTGGGTGTGGAGTGTGGTGGAGGTGTGGAGTGTGGTGGTGGTATGTGGTGGAGGTGGTGGGTGTGGAGTGTGGTGGTGGTGTGGAGTGTGGTGTGTAGGTGTGGTGGTGGTGGGTGTGGAGTGCGGCATTTCCTGAAACTTTGCTGCGTTATGTAGGCATGAAGATGACAGTTTGCCTCACTCACACCACCACACTCCACCACACGCCACCACCAGCATATATCACCACCACCCCCACACACTCCACAGCACCACACACACACACACCACACCCCCCAACCACCATTACCACCACGCCACACGAACTGATCGCTATAAGAACATCCCAGTCCCAACCATTGTAAAAATTATCAATAACTTGTAATAAACCAGTGTATTGACTCCCAGTAAATACTACTTCTTACACTGTCACTATGTTGAAATGCCCTGTAGTTTGAGCTTCTCCCCACCTAGTTATTATATATCTTTTTTGTATCACTTATGTCACTTGTATATTATTTGTAAATCAAGAGACCCAGTGGCATTTCCTACCGTGTTAGTATTGCCTTGTGACGCTGACTGTATACCGGTTTTGTTAGTGTGTGTGTGTTTGTGTGTGTGTGTGTGTGTGTGTACCGCTTTTGTTCTGTGCACTGCTTTTGTTTCTCTCTCTTTTGTGTTTCTTATTGTCGTGTTTATGTTAATTCTTACGTCTTTATAGTAGAAGATCATTGCACTGTTTTTGTTATTTGTTTGAGATGTAGCCAATAATTCGGAGTTAAAATTAAGGGGAATATTTGTAGTTTTGAACACACGCGAATGACTCTTCTCAGGACGGAAAATATTGTGTATTTTTGTGTTTGTTTGTTTGTGTGTTTGTCTTGTATGTTTGTTTGTGTGTTTGTCTTGTATGTTTGTTTGTTTGTTTGTCTTGGTTTTCCTGATTCTGTCCTTTAATTTTCGTGGTACTTATTTTTTGGTGAGGGGAGGGGTGGGTGGGGTGTTAGGGAGGGGTGGGGTGTTAGGGGAGGGGGGTGAGGGGGGAGGTGTTAGGGGAGGGGTTGGTGGGGTGTTAGGGGGGGTGGGGTGTTAGGGGAGGAGGGTGAGGGGGGAGGTGTTAGTAATGCGTTAATTAAAAGGTTTGGGTGGCTAATGGTCTACGTGGGGTAAAGGTCAAGGTCAGAGGTCACTTGTGGGTGTATCGTGTTGACCTTGTTGTTGTTATTACTGTTATTATTGTTCTTATTTTTGTGGATATGAAGTTATTACAGGTTATCAATACGACTACTACTACTACTACTACTACTACTACCACTACTACTTTTTTTTTTTTACTACTACGTGGTCTCCAGCCTCCCCCAATAGCCACACCTTCGCCACCATTTATTTACCTTAATATTAAGTATCCTAATACATAAGAAGCTATCCTAACTGTGTTAAATTAGTTGAGCCGCAGATCTATGCGGCATTCAGTGACTGTAGCCTCATAGTCAATATCTGCAGCAGTTGTCGGAGAAGCAGAAGCTCTCGTTCCCCTGAGGCAGAGCAAAGCCGACCGAAGCAGAGAGAAGGACAGTCGACATCTCATCCAGGCTGTAACATAACTTCTGGGCTGCTGCTTCTGTTCGGAGATCAACTCCGCGAGTCTGGCGTAGAAACATCTTGCACTTGGGCCCATCCCACCAGAGGTTGTGAACACTAGAGGAGTGAAGCTGCCTTGATCAACGTTTTGAATTCTCTCCCCATATGCCCTTCTCTTGTCGTTCTCGTTCCTCCTATGTGCAGCATCGAGAGCTAGGTTACGGTGACATGCAGCCATGGGATCAAAAATCCTGATGTCGAAGAAAGCTCGCTGTCCCCGCGTCCAGAATCCTCTAGCACTGACGTCCACACGGGCTTCGCTAGATGTGTTTGAAGTCCTGTGTTGGAAGATCTCGCCATCCAATGGAAGGAGGGTCGGTTCTACCATAACGTCCCGGCAGATTTCCTTCAACATATTTGCTGTGAGATCCCTTACCTCGTCATGCCTCATGCATATGAAGCCCCCCCCCTTCTTGCACACCATGGCGTGATCGCCATCATAGGAAGAGCCACACACGCATTGGGAGGGCAAACCATCTACTGGCCAACCGTACCTTAGAGCAATGGCATCTGTAAATTCTTGTTTGTTAAGACTGAAACCATTTGCCCTTATCGGTAACGTAGTTAACCAGTTCGAGGCGCCCACCTCCTGCGCTATAGCTACTTTTCTTTTCAAATTTTCTGGAACCTGGAGCAATAGTTGCTGCAACATATCATTTTGGCAGTGCTGTCGATCTGTCGTAATGGACCTACGAATCTTATTTACTTCACTGGTATCCACTTCCCCTGTTGCATTCTGGGCTATTATGTGGTCCGTGAGGGCTGCCGTGAGCTTAAGTGAATTTTGATGTTCAGTGGCAGCAATCTCCGCTGGATTAGTTAGTCCCATCCCTCCCAGTCTTGGTGGAAGTGCAAGAAGTGCTCTTTCTGCTGGGGTTAAGTCAGGGTGTTTCACTAGTTTGGGAATGAACTTGACACTGATAGCTTCTTCCAGGTAGTTCCAGCGATGCTTGACTCCATGGGTGAATGCTGCAAAGGCCGCATGTGGCTCTGTGTTAGCAATCTCAGACAGAGCCTGGATTTCACTAACCCACTCATTCACCTTTCCCGCTACGTACTCGGTCTTGAAGTCCGTAGTGCCAATTACTGCGCCTAGATGTCTTTGGCCGTCCTTAGTTATTTTGACCTCACTTCCGCCAAAAACCTCCAATGCCCGTTCATAATGTTCTGGCTTCACGATGAGGAAGGACTTGCTGGCGTTTGGGTGGTACCCTATTTGTGGACCTCGTGATGTTACCAGGTCCCACCACTTTTTGATGCACTCCACTTTTCCTGCTCCTGTAAGGTCATCAGCATATGCCACTTGTTTGACCCCAGTTGTTTCAAATTTTATTTCTTGTTGGAGCGCTGATAGGCCAATTGCATACATTGCCATTGCAACGGGGTCCCCCTGTGTTGTTCCCTCGGTCGACTGTAGGATGGTATCACCTTGTAGAGCCTTGTTGTTTACTATGTAGAGGTCTGAAGGATTCCTATACGAATTTTCAACATACATCGCAAAGCTTGGACACTTGATCTTGATGTTGTGCAGTGCAGCCTTGCGGTTAAGTATGTTGAATGCGTTTGAAGCATCCACCAGGAGAACGGCCTCACAATCACGCTGCTCAAATATCAATCTCATGGCGTGAATGGCCGCCTCCCCACCAGCCTGGTGGCCAGCACACACTTGTAGGTTCCCTGCTGCTGCCCTGACATCGTCCTTTACCACCTCCATTATGCACTTTCCGATGATCCGCCTCAGCACTTCCCCCACCCCTATAGGTCTACATCCTGGTTTCTTTTCCAGAGGAATAAGGCGGCAGGCCGTCAGGGCCTGGAGGTGATGGCACCAAGAGGATGCAAGCTTTCTTGCAAGGGCGGCAATGGCAGTGCAGAGATCGCTTGCTACAGGGCCAAACTTGTTTGTGCTGAGGATGACTCTCCAGCCGTTTGCATCCAGACCTGAAGGGCCGGCTCCTCCTCGAGTCTTCAGTGCCTTTTTCCACACCATCTCTCCTGTTATTTTCTCGAACAGGACAGCATTTGGTGGGATATAGTCACCCTGGAACCTGATGCCTTCATCTTCGCTTGCAGGGGGATGTTTCTCTTTCAATAGTTTTAATGTCTCTCTGTTTATTGGCATCACCCCACCGGAGGATTCCTGTGTGAGAGATCTTACCGCAAGAGACACTTTTCCCACACGCATTTTGTTTCCAAATTTTCTTGCCACGTCATCGGTGTTTTGCTTTCCGTCACCCGTAGATTTTAGTCTCTCCTGCAGTGTTCTTGCTTCACATAGGAGATCATCTAGGGCCCCAGTCTGCCACATTGTCAATCTTCTCTTCATTGCTGCCACATTTTCTTTGTGCTTAGCCTTTGTGTGTGTCCTCTGACAAAATAGATGTGGTATTATTGCCAGTATTTGAAGAGCTAGGGGGGCGAGGAAGCGGTCCTGAGTGTAATCAGTCATGAAGCGAGTCATCTCCCGAATCATTTCTTTGGTGGCCGCACACTTGGGTGGTTCAAATAAGTTAGCGGGCGACCACTTGACAATTTCTGAGTAGGTTTCTTTGACCCATATGTCTGCATTTTCCATCGACATGCCATTCCACTGAGGTGGCTGTCTCTCATTCTCCTCCTGGACACCTGCTACTGAGGGAGCAGCATTTGTTAGTACTACATTTTCGGGTTGAGTAGACTCACTGCTATCATTTCGGATATCATCGGGTAGTTGGGTCCCGGCGATATCCACTGTGGCCACCTGTGTCGGCACCCTGCGACGTGGGTTCCGACACTGGTCTAGCTTCCTGCAATCCACACATGGTCGGTTGTTTCTCGCACAAACACAATTTGTGCAGTTTTGGTTCGGGCTAGCACAGACGCAGCAAAGAATGTTACCAGCCATAGTGAACAGCACCTTGGGCGACGGTTACGTCCGCCTCCGAACATCTGATTTAGTCCCAGGCACAAGATTATACTATTACTACTACTACTACTACTAATAATAATAAATAAATCACTAAAATTAAGAAAAAACGGCAGAAAAATAAAGAAAAAATGAATGAAGAAAAATATGATAATTATAAGATGAGAAAAAAGAAAAAGTTTTGTATACGGTTTTGTATAAATATGAGATGCCTGGGCCCTCCCTCCCTCCCTCCCTCCCTCCCTCTCTCCCTCCCTCCTTCCCTCCTTCCCCTCCTTCTCCTCTACTGGGCTAAGTTTTATAAGTAACTTTGTATGAATGTCAGTCTGGCCAATGAGATGTTTTCATACTCACATACATATATACATAGACAGACACATACATACATACATACATACAGACACACACATACATACATAGACACAAGCATACATACATAGACAGACACATACATACATTCATACATACATACATAGACATACATACATACATACATAGACACATACATACATACACAAACATACATACATACACAAACATACATACACACACACACACACATATCGTCTGCTTAAGAGAGGGAAGGAGAGACAAAATATATGTATATATTTTTTTTTCTTGTATAAATCTTTAATATTCTCGGCAGCTGCTGTACCCGTCTCGGCCTTAAGGAAGCACTCGGATTACCATAAGAATAGTTTAAGTTTTAATTAGTCATTCACGAGTTGGTCACCTCTCCCACAGCCTTACTTTCCCTCCTTTTCCCTCCCACAACCTCGCTTTCCCTCCCACAACCCCACTTTCCCTTCCACAACCTCCCTTTCCCTCCCCACAACCTCACTTTCCCTCCCACAACCTCACTTTCCCCCCACAACCTCCCTTTCCCCCCACAACCTCCCCCTTTCCCCTCCCCACAACCTCCCTTTCTCCCACAACCTCCTTTTCCCTCCCCACAACCCTCCCTTTCCTCCCACAACCTCCTTCCTCCCACAACCCTCCCCTTTCCTCACCACAACCTCCTTTCTCCCACTCCCTCCCCACAACCTCACCTCCTTCCCTCCCAGTACCACTCACTCCCCACCCAAAGACCCACCCATCCTTCCCCTCCCCCTGCCCCGCCCCCCTGCCCCGCCCCTGCCCCCGAGCTGAGCTTCAATACCAGAGGATATTTTTCTTAAGTCTCTACCCATCATCTTCCTCTCTGTCTCACCCTCTTCTCTAGATTCCTCCCCCTACCCTCATCCAGCAGGCGAGCGGGCAGGCAGGCTATGAGTCACACACACCGTCCCACCACCGACAGATCTTAAACCATGTGCCGCCAACATTACCACCCCGCCAAACTTCCTCTCTACACACCCACACACACACTCACTCACCCGCTGGTCGATTATTTTACTTGTCCCCCTCCCCCTCCCCCTTCGTTAATTTCACCCATAGGACCGTGATAATTAGATATATACTCGCTCGAGATTTAAAAACAAACTTTAAAATGGATGCGAATGGTGTACGGACGTTAGTAGTTGTGTGGTAGATGATGGGGTGGTGTTTTGTGAAGGGGTTGGTAGTGGTGGTGGTAGTGGTATGGCCTCGCGGCTGTTTGATTGGCTGGCTGGCTTTCTCCCGTTGGCCCTGGAGTCGGCGGGAGCCAATCAGCTCTCAGCGTGTGGGGGGTGCAGTATTGCCAAGTCGCAGGTGAACGTCTACACCGTGTTTGCATTATTTGGTCTCCTGCAACCTCCTGTTCCCCCTTCCCCCCCCTCCTCCCCCTTTCCCCCCCTCCCCTCTTCCCACACACGAAAGGAAATACTCCTCATATCTTTCAAATACCTCATTGATAAAGACTTAAACACATTATATCACTCACCATTAACGATAAACACACCAGGTGGTATTAAGTAGTGAGTCACATTATTTTTTTTACCAGGATGGACAGATGGTAGTGGTGTGTCCATTGTCTCTTTTTTTCCCCCAGGACGAACAGCCGCTAATCCTTTTTGACTGGGTACGAAGCAAGTTTTTGTTCCTCGGAGTGTAGTGAACGAGTCCTTTTGAGTATGATTTTTTTTAATCCCCTTGAGTACGATGGCGGAGACCTCTTTTGAGTACGATGTCAACCTCCAGAGTACAATAAGTTAGCCTGTTGATTTACGATATTTGAATTCTTTTGAGCACAATGGCTTGACCCCCTTGAGTACGATGGCTTGACCCCCTTGAGTACGATGGCTTGACCCCCTTGAGTACGATGGCTTATTTCAAGTATCTATAACAAGTCTTTACTCTTGTTTACACACCTACAATTGTTTACACACCTACACTTGTTTATACACCTACACTTGTTTATACACCTACACTTGTTTATACACCTACACTTGTTTATACACCTACACTTGTTTATACACCCACACTTGTTTATACACCTACACTTGTTTATACACCCACACTTGTTTATACACCTACACTTGTTTATACACCTACACTTGTTTATATACCTTCACTTGTTTATACACCTACACTTGTTTATACACCTACACTTGTTTATACACCTACACTTGTTTATACACCTACACTTGTTTATACACCTACACTTGTTTATACACCTACACTTGTTTATACACCTACACTTGTTTATAGACCTACACTTGTTTATACACCTACACTTGTTTATACACCTACACTTGTTTACACACCTACACTTGTTTATACACCTACACTTGTTTACACACCTACACTTGTTTATACACCTTCACTTGTTTATACACCTACACTTGTTTATACACCTACACTTGTTTATACACCTACACTTGTTTATACACCTACACTTGTTTACACACCTACACTTGTTTACACACCTACACTTGTTTATAGACCTACACTTGTTTATAGACCTACACTTGTTTATACACCTACACTTATTTATACACCTACACTTGTTTATAGACCTACACTTGTTTATAGACCTACACTTGTTTATACACCTACACTTGTTTATACACCTTCACTTGTTTATACACCTACACTTGTTTATAGTTATACACCTACACTTATTTTATACACCTACACTTGTTTATACACCTACACTTGTTTATACACCTACACTTGTTTATACACCTACACTTGTTTATACACCTACACTTGTTTATACACCTACGCTTGTTTATACACCTACACTTGTTTACACACCTACACTTGTTTACACACCTACACTTGTTTATAGACCTACACTTGTTTATACACCTACACTTGTTTATACACCTACACTTGTTTATACACCTATACTTGTTTATACACCTACACTTGTTTATACACCTACACTTGTTTATACACCTACACTTGTTTATACACCTACACTTGTTTATAGACCTACACTTGTTTACACACCTACACTTGTTTACACACCTACACTTGTTTACACACCTACACTTGTTTATACACCTACACTTGTTTACACACCTACACTTGTTTATACATAGACCTACACTTGTTTATACACCTACACTTGTTTATACACCTACACTTGTTTATACACCTATACTTGTTTATACACCTACACTTGTTTATACACCTACACTTGTTTATACACCTACACTTGTTTATACACCTACACTTGTTTATAGACCTACACTTGTTTACACACCTACACTTGTTTACACACCTACACTTGTTTACACACCTACACTTGTTTATACACCTACACTTGTTTATACACCTACACTTGTTTATACACCTACACTTGTTTATACACCTACACTTGTTTATACACCTACACTTGTTTATACACCTACGCTTGTTTATACACCTACACTTGTTTACACACCTACACTTGTTTACACACCTACACTTGTTTATAGACCTACACTTGTTTATACACCTACACTTGTTTATACACCTACACTTGTTTATACACCTATACTTGTTTATACACCTACACTTGTTTATACACCTACACTTGTTTATACACCTACACTTGTTTATACACCTACACTTGTTTATAGACCTACACTTGTTTACACACCTACACTTGTTTACACACCTACACTTGTTTACACACCTACACTTGTTTATACACCTACACTTGTTTATACACCTACACTTGTTTATACACCTACACTTGTTTATACACCTACACTTGTTTATACACCTACACTTGTTTATACACCTACACTTGTTTATACACCTACACTTGTTTATACACCTACACTTGTTTATACACCTACACTTGTTTATACACCTACACTTGTTTATACACCTACACTTGTTTATACACCTACGCTTGTTTATACACCTACACTTGTTTATATACTACACTTGTTTATAGACCTACACTTGTTTATACACCTACACTTGTTTATACACCTACACTTGTTTATACACCTACACTTGTTTATACACCTACACTTGTTTATACACCTACACTTGTTTATACACCTACACTTGTTTATACACCTACACTTGTTTACACACCTACACTTGTTTATACACCTACACTTGTTTATACACCTACACTTGTTTATACACCTACGCTTGTTTATACACCTACACTTGTTTATACACCTACACTTGTTTACACACCTACACTTGTTTATACACCTACACTTGTTTATATACACTCCACTACTAAAATCCGTCCACCTCTCTCCCTGAATCCCGAACTCCCCCGAGAATCAGACTCGTGAACCCGAAGCAGTAGACTGATTCATTATTCTGTCGGTAAATGGTTCGGGTTCATGGGTGTGGATCTCTCGGGGGGGTTCGTGGTTCAGTGGGAGAGGTGAATGTGTTTTTTTTTAGTACAGTTCGGGGTTTATGGTGAAGCAGTGTCGACCCCTGAACGAGATGAAACATTCAGGGTATAATTCAGCTCGGAGACTCATTCCCCATGACTCAGTTTCACCATGCACGGGGAGCGAGCTCTTGTCCACGACTATACTTGAAGGACGACTTAGCAGACTTGAAGGACGACTTAGCAGACTTGAAGGACGACTTAACAGACTTGAAGGACGACTTAGCAGACTTGAAGGACGACTTAGCAGACTTGAAGGACGAGTTAGCAGACTTGAAGGACGACTTAACAGACTTGAAGGACGACTTTGTTTTGTATCAGTGTCTGTCTCACATACAGAAGTTAACCAGGAAGGTAGACACATCCTGATTATCCCTGTTTGCTCTGTTATCTTGTGTGCTTTTTCCTGTTTGCTTTGTAATATTGTTTGCTCTGTAATCTTATTTGCTCTGTAATTCTGTTTGCTCTGTAATCTTGTTTACTCTGTAATCCTGTTTGCTTTGTAATATTGTTTGCTCTGTAATCTTATTTGCTCTGTAATTCTGTTTGCTCTGTAATCTTGTTTGCTCTGTAATCTTATTTGCTCTGTAATTCTGTTTGCTCTGTAATCTTGTTTACTCTGTAATCCTGTTTGCTTTGTAATATTGTTTGCTCTGTAGTTCTGTTTTTATATTAGAACTCTATACTGTATATATACTGTACCAACCTTATACCATGGGTAAATATTAACAAGGGCTGGGTTGAGGATAGGATAGGCTGGTGTTGGGATAGGCTGGGTTGGGATAGGATAGGCTGGGTTGGGATAGGATAGGATGGGCTGGGTTGGGTTGGGATGGCTGGGTTAGGATATGGATGGGATGGGCTGGGTTGGGTTACGATAGGCTGGGTTAGGATAGGATAGGCTGGTGTTAGGATAGGCTGGTTAGGATAGGATGGGCTGGGTTGGGATGGGATAGGATGGGCTGGGTTGGGTTAGGATAGGCTGGGTTGGGATGGGATAGGTGGGCTGGGTTGGGTTACGATGGGCTGGGTTTGGGATGGGATGGGCTGGGTTGGGATGGGATGGGCTGGTTGGGATGGGATGGGCTGGTTGGGATGGTAGGCTGGGTTAGGATAGGCTGGGTTGGGATAGGATGGGGCTGGGTTTGGGATGGGCTGGGTTGGGATAGGCTGGGGTTGGGATAGGATGGGCTGGGTTGGGATGGGATGGGCTGGGTTGGGATGGGATGGGCTGGGTTGGGATAGGATGGGCTGGGTTGGGATAGGCTGGGTTGGGATGGGATGGGCTGGGTTGGGATGGGATGGGCTGGGTTGGGTTGCGATAGGCTGGGTTGGGATGGGATGGGCTGGTTTGGGATGGGATGGGCTGGGTTGGGATGGGATGGGCTGGGTTGGGATGGGCTGGGTTGGGATGGGATGGGCTGGTTGGATGGGCTGGGTTGGGATGGGCTGGGTTGGGATGGGATGGGCTGGGTTGGGATGGGCTGGGTTAGGATGGATGGGCTGGTTTGGGATGACTGAGTTGGGATGGGCTGGGTTGAGGATAGGCTGGGTTGGGATAGGATGGGCTGGGTTGGGATGGGCTGGTTGAGATAGGATGGGCTGGGTTGGGTTGATAGGCTGGGTTTGGATGGGATGGGCTGGGTTGGGTTGCGATGGTGGGTTGGGATGGGATGGGCTGGGTTGGTGGGCTGCAGGTTACGATGGGCGGTTGGGATGGGATGGGCTGGGGTTGGGATGGGATGGGTTGGGATGGGATGGGCTGGGTTGGGATGGGCTGGGTTAGGATAGGCTGGGTTGGGATGGGATGGGCTGGGTTAGGATGGGCTGGGTTGGGATGGGATGGGCTGGGTTGGGTTGCGATGGGTGGGTTGAGGATGGGATGGGCTGGGTTGGGTTACGATAGGCTGGGTTGGGTTGGATGGCTGGGTTGGGAGTGGGATGGGCTGGGTTGGGATGGGATGGCTGGGTTGGGTTGGGATAGGCTGGGTTGGGATAGGATGGGCTGGGTTGGGATAGGCTGGCTTGGGTTTACTGATGGGCTGGGTTGGGATGGGATGGGCTGGGTTGGGTTAAGATAGGCTGGGATGGGTTGGGATGGGCTGGGTTGGGATAGACTGGGTTGGGATGGGATGGCCTGGGTTGGGATTAGGCTGGGTTGGGTTGGGATGGGTTTGGGTTGGTTGGGCTGGTTGGGATGGGATGGGCTGGGTTGGGTTAGGTGGGATGGGTTGGGATGGGCTGGGTTGGGTTGGGCTGGGTTGGGATGGGATGGACTGGGTTGGGTTAGGATGGGCTGGGTTGGGATAGGCTGGGTTGGGATGGGATGGCCTGGGTTGGGTTGGGATGGGCTGGGTTGGGTTTAGGATGGGTTGGGTTGGGTTGACGATGGTGGGTTGGGATGGGATGGGCTGGGTTGGGTTAAGATGGGCTGGGATAGGTTAGGATGGGCTGGGTTGGGATGGGCTGGGTTGGGATGGGATAGACTGGGTTGGGTTAGGATGGGCTGGGTTGGGTTGATGGGCTGGGTTGGGTTACGATGGGCTGGGTTGGGTTACTATAGGCTGGGTTGGGTTAGGATGGGCTGGGTTGGGTTGGGATGGGTTGGGTTGGGTTTGATGGGTTGGGTTAGGATAGGTTGGGTTTGGTTGGGATAGGTTAAGTTAGTTTGGGTTGGTTGGGAGAATCGGTATACCACAGCACTGTACCCGACATCCTTCACTCCTCAACTGTATAATTAGGTACCCAATCACAGGTGGGTGGGCCCGGTGTGTACGGACGCCTGGGACAGTGGGTCAAGCAAATGTATCCTCCGCCACCACCGCTTAATAATATAGTCTATGAGGTGTTATTAAATCTGTCTGTCTGTCTGTTTTGTCTGTGCGTGTGTGTATCTGTCTGGCCCTTTGTCTTTGCTTGTTTGTTTTTGTGATTGTTTGTCTCTGGGCTAGTGTGTTTGTTTTCGTCTGGAGTGCTATTGTGTGTGTGTGTGTGTGTGTGACTGACCAATCTAGAAGTCTCTCTCTCTCTCTCTCTCTCTCTCTCTCTTCTCTTCTCTCTCTCTCTCTCTCTCTCTCTCTCTCTCTCTCTCTCTTCCCATTCAGTTCTACATTTACGAATTAATTTAAACTCAGCGAAGGTTTCAGAATACAGACGGAAATAAATTGCAGTTAACTCTTCATTAATCTCTAGTTTGGGAGAATAAATTGTGAACTTGCAAACTTATGTGTAATTTGGCGAGTTTTTTTATTCGAATTTGTTTTTTATTTTTTCCATAATTTTCTTTTTTCGCGGAATAAATTCTTTTTTTTTTTTTTTTTTGGCTTTTGGTTCTCAATCCTTTTGGCAGAATTATTAATTAGGGCAGTTATAAGATTCTGTAAAGTCACTCTGTCCCCTCCCCTCCTCGGTCCTGCCTCCCCTCGGTCCTGCCCCCTCCTTCCAGTCCCCCTCTCCACCTCAGTCCTGCCCCCTCCCCTCGGTCCCTGCCTCCCCCTCAGTCTGCCCCCACCTCGGTCCTGCCCCTCCCCTCGTCCTGCCCCCCCCCCTCGGTCCTGCCCCCTCCGGTCCTGCCCCCTCGGTCCTGCCCCCCCCCCTCGGTCCTGCCTCCCCCCTCGGTCCTGCCCTCTCCCCCTCGGTCTTGCCTCTCCCTCGGTCCTGCCCCCTCCCCCTCGGCCCCTGCCTCCCCCCTCAGTCCTGCCTCCCCTCGGTCCTGCCCCTCCACCTCAGTCCTGCCCCCTCCCCTCGGTCCTGCCCCCTGTCTGCCTCCCCTCGGTCCTGCCTCCCCTCGGTCCTTCCCCTTTCACCTTTCCTCTCCTTCACCCCCTCTCCCTCCCTCCGCCCCAGGCTATTTCACCTAAAGATTAAACGCCCTAACGAAAGCCCTAACCCTAACCTAACGTATTGCTTGCTTATTATCTTGTATATTTACTTCCTTATTTGCTAGGTTTGCTGCTTATGCGTTCGTTTGTCTTATCCTTGTTTGTTTATACGCTTGTTTGCTTGCTTATACGCTTGCTTATGCGTTCGTTTGCTTGCTTGCTTGCGTTATCTTGACTCATTGCGCCAAGATAGTGCGTTAATATCATGATTGTTTAATTGTATAAGCAAATGTTGAGTATAATAGCCAAAATACAACAGTGGCCGCAGGAATACACACACACACCAAAAGCTAGTATTAGTTGTGGCCTGAATAATAATATACTGCATTTCCTATATTGTATTTGATACATCTTGGCTTTGAATAATACAATATACTGTATTTGGTGATCTTTTAGGTGTTGGGAAGGTATTATGTGGGAAGGACAAGGGGGTGAACAGGTAACATACATTTAAGAGCCAGAAAACTTAATTCATGCAACAATAATAAACAATAATAAACACACAGTATTGTACAGGTTGCATTAAGCAACAGAATAGATTTCATTAATACCAGTTTGCATTTTCAGGTAATTCAAGGTTGCAATATAAATCCGGGAAGGTATACGTTAATAACAGGTTGCAATATCAACAAAAGGACACCAGGTATATTGAAGCCAAGTTTGCAATAGTAGCAAATGAAAATAGGTACGATGTTGCAGTTTGTGATGGAAACAGAGCAATTGCAATACTAAAATATGGTAATGGCAATGTTCTTTAATTCAAGGTTTGCAATATCGATGATACGGGTTGATAATATCAGCAAATAATAATATATCAACTTGCAATATTAATAAAACTCTTTTTAATGTTGAAATGGAATGCAATATGTACATTATTGGCAGATTGCAGTAAAACTGTAAGTGCGGTGTGGTTAAAATTGCCGGTTGCAATGTCGATAATGCAGGGTTTGCATATTAGGAAATGTAGAATATCTGTATTTAGGTTGCAATATTAATAATACCAGGTTGCAATATCGATAATACCAGGTTGAAATATCAATAATACCAAATTGCAATATCAGTACTAACATCAGGTTACCTGTCAATAATACTATAATACGTTTGCAATGTCAATAGCACCAGGTTGCAATATCAATAATACCAGGTTGCAATATCAATAATACCGGTTGCAATATCAATAATGCCGGGTTGCAATATCAATAATACCGGGCTGTAATATCAATAATAACCAGGTTACAATATCAGTAATACCGGGTTGCAATATCAATAATACGGGTTTTGCAACATAGAATACACCATTATTGTCACGATCCCCAGAACAAGTGATTGTTATTATTATTATTGTGCATTACCCAAAGTACCAATATTCGTCAAGCTGTATATATTTTTTTTCTCCCCCTTGGCTTGGATTAAACCAAGCATCGTACTTGGACTTAGTTGGCTGTGTGCGGCTTAATGAAATTTACCGAAGGCATTTGGTACAGGTGAAGCACAGAGGAATCTTAGTTATTAATATCTGAGTGTGTAATGTGCTGGCGACAGATTGTATTTAATTAAACGGGAATATTTTTGTATGATGGCTGGCTGCAAGAAGGCCATGAGTTGAGATGGGGTGTGTGTGTGACAGAGAGAGAGAGAGAGAGAGACAGACAGAGAGACAGAGAGAGGTAGAGTGACAGACAGACAGAGAGAGAGAGAGAAAGTGAGTGACAGACAGAAGAGAGAGAGAGAGACAATGCTAGAAATTATAATATATGTAATAATAATAATAATAAAAATATTTACTGTAATGGTTTATTGATGAAGAAAAAACATTCACTATTAAAAATATATATATTCATTAAACAGCAAATAAATATATATTACTTAAGGTTTACAATAATGATGGTGATATATAACATAAACTTAAATAAAATAAAACGTAGAGTCTCATACGAGTTATCTAGTCATTTTAATACGTCGGTCTGACGGGATTTATGTTTTAGTCTTGTATGTGAGGTCGGGTTAAATTATCACCGTTAAAGGGTTAAATTATTGTTGAAGGGTTAAATTATTGTTAAATGGTTAAATTATTATTGTTAAAGGGTTAAATTATTGTTAAAGGGTTAAATTATTGTTGAAAGGGTTAAATTATTGTTAAAGGTTAAATTATTGTTAAAGGGTTAAATTATTTAAAGGTTAAATTAATGTTAAAGGGTTAAATTAATGTTAAAGGGTTAAGATTGTTAAAGGTTAAATTAATGTTAAGGGTTAAATTATTGTTAAAGGGTTAAATTATTGTTAAGGGTTAAATTATTAAAGGGTTAAATTATTGTTAAAGGGTTAAATTATTGTTAAAGGGTTAAATTATTGTTAAGGGTTAAATTATTGTTAAGGGTTAAATTAATGTTAAAGGTTAAATTATTGTTAAGGGTTAAATTATTGTTAAGGGTTAAATTATTGTTAAAGGGTTAAATTATTGTTAAGGTTAAATTATTGTTAAAGGTTAAATTAGTGTTAAAAGGGTTAAATTAGTGTTAAGGGTTAAATTAGTGTTAAAGGGTTAAATTAGTGTTAAAGGGTTTAATTATTGTTAAAGGGTTAAATTATTGTTAAAGGTTAAATGATTGTTGAAGGGTTAAATTATTGTTAATGGGTTAAATTATTGTTAAAGGGTTAAATTATTGTTAAAGGGTTAAATATTGTTTAAGGGTTAAATTATCACCGTTAATGGGTTAAATTATTGTTAAAGGGTTAAATTATTGTTAAAGGGTTAAATTATTGTTAAAGGTTAAATTATTGTTAAAGGGTTAAATTATTGTTAAAGGGTTAAATTATTGTTAAAGGGTTAATTAATGTTAAAGGGTTAAATTATTGTTAAAGGGTTAAATTATTGATAAAGGGTTAAATTAATGTTGAAGGGTTAATTATTGTTAATGGGTTAAATTATTGTTAAAGGGTTAAATTATTGTTAAAGGGTTAAATTATTGTTTAAGGGTTAAATTATCATCGTTAATGGGTTAAATTGTTAAAGGGTTAAATTATTGTTAAAGGGTTAAATTATTGTTAAAGGGTTAAATTGTTGTTAAGGGTTAAATTATTGTTAAGGGTTAAATTATTGTTAAAGGGTTGAATTATTGTTAAAGGGTTAAATTATTGTTAAAGGGTTAAATTATTGTTAAAGGTTAAATTATTGTTAAGGTTAAATCATTATAGTTAAAGGGTTAAATTATTGTCAAGGGTTAAATTATTGTTAAAGGTTAAATTATCAGTCAAGGGTAATCATCGTCCTCAAATGGTTAAATCATCGTCCTCGAAGGGCTAAATTATCAGTCAAAGGGTTAAATCATCGTTCATCAAGGGTTAAATCATCGCCTCAAGGGTTGAAGCATCGTCGTTAAAGGTTAAATCATCGTCGTCAAGGTTAAATCATCGTTCATCAAAGGTTAAATCATCGTTCTCAAATGGTTAAATCATCGTCCTGAAAGGTTAAATCATCGTTCATCAAAGGTTAAATCATCGTCATCAAAGGGTTAATCATCGTTCATCAAGGTTAAACTCGTCATCAAAGGTTAAATATCGTCCTCAAGGGTTAAATCATCGCCCTCAAGGGTTGAAGCATCGTCGTTAAGGTTAAATCATCGTCGTCAAGGGTTAAATCATCGTTCATCAAAGGGTTAAATCATCGTTCTCAAATGGTTAAATCATCGTACTGAAAGGGTTAAATCATCGTTCATCAAAGGGTTAAATCATCGTCATCAAAGGGTTAAATCATCGTTCATCAAAGGGTTAAATCATCGTCCTCAAAGGGTTAAATCATCGTCCTCAAAGGGTTAAATCATCGTCCTCAAAGGGTTAAATCATCGTCCTCAAAGGGTTAAATCATCGTCATCAAGGGTTAAATCATCGTCATCAAGGGTTAAATCATCGTTCATCAAAAGGTTAAATCATCGTCCTCAAAAGGGTTAATCATCGTTCATCAAAGGTTTAAATCATCGTCATCAAAAGGTTAAATCATCGTTCATCAAAGGGTTAATCATCGTCCTCAAGGTTAAATCATCGTCTCAAAGGTTGAAGCATCGTCGTTAAAGGTTAAATCATCGTCGTCAAAGGGTTAAATCATCGTTCATCAAAGGGTTAAATCATCGTTCTCGAAAGGTTAAATCATCGTCCTGAAAGGGTTAAATCATCGTTCATCAAAGGGTTAAATCATCGTCATCAAAGGGTTAAATCATCGTCCTCAAAGGTTAAATCATCGTCATCAAAGGTTAAATCATCGTCCTCAAAGGGTTAAATCATCGCCCTCAAGGGTTGAAAGCATCGTCGTTAAAGGGTTAAATCATCGTCGTCAAGGGTTAAATCATCGTTCATCAAAGGGTTAAATCATCGTTCTCAAATGGGTTAAATCATCGTCCTGAAAGGGTTAAATCATCGTTCATCAAGGTTAAATCATCGTCATCAAAGGGTTAAATATCGTTCATCAAAGGTTAAATCATCGTCATCAAAGGTTTAAATCATCGTATCAAAGGGTTAAATATTAATCCTCAAGGTTAAATCATCGTCCTCAAAGGTTAAATCTATCGTCATCAAGGGTTAAATTATCGTCTCAAAGGTTAAATCATCGTTCATCAAAGGGTTAAATCATCGTCATCAAAGGGTTAAACATTGGTGAGAACACTTAATCACCATTTCTTCACTACCTTTCTCATCACCTTTTCATACATCTTTACTACCTTTCATACTACCCTTCTCATTCACCACCACTCCAGCAATACAGACGACAGCAGCTCTCATTAATGCGTATAATATTCATCAGGTGATATTAGCTATCGTGAGCAATATTTAGATAAAGTCGACGAGAAATTGGCTTCTAGATCAAGTGATGCATTTAACTGGACTGAAGCTGAACTGGTCTCGTGGAGATGTGTCGTGGAGATGTGTCGTGGAGGGGAGGTGTGTGTCGTGAGAGAGTGTGTGTCGTGGAGAGGTGTGTGTCGTGGAGGTGTGTGTGTCGTGGAGGGGAGGTGTGTGGTGGAGGGAGGTGTGTGTCGTGGAGGGAGGTGTGTCGTGGAGGGTGTGTGTTGTGGAGGAGGTGTGTGTCGTGGAGGAGGTGTGTGTGTCGTGGAGGGGGGAGGTGTGTGTTGTGGAGGGTGTGTCGTGGAGGGAGGTGTCGTGGAGGTGTGTGTCGTGGAGGGGGATGTCGTGGAGGCAGGGGATGTGTTGTTGAGGGGGAGGTGTGTGTGTGTTGTGGGGGGGATATGTGAAGGGCGATCTGTCATGAAGGGCGGGGATGTGTCGTGGAGGGGCGGGGAATGTGTAGTGGAGGAGGCGGGGATGTGTCGTGGAGGGGGGCAGGGGATGTGTCGTATCGTGGAGGATGTCTTGGAGAGCGGGGATGTGTCATGGAGGGCAGGGGATCTGTCGTGATATGTTAAAGGACCGACGGGTTTAATCTACATAGCCAAATAGCTCCTTTGCTGGCACCAGAGGACATGATGTGCACAAATGATGTCAGGTAAGTAGGGTGCGGCAGGTTGATGTCAGGGAAGAGTAAAGATTGGGGCAGGTTGATGTCAGGGAAGAGTAGGGTGCAGCAGGTTGATGTCAGGGAAGAGGAAGGAGTACGGCAGGTTGATGTCAGGGAAGAGTAGGGTGCGGCAGGTTGATGTCAGGAAGAGTAGGGTGCGGCAGGTTGATGTCAGGGAAGAGTAGGGTACGGCAGGTTGATGTCAGGGAAGAGTAAGTGCAGCAGGTTGATGTCAGGAAGAGTAGGTGCAGCAGGTTGATGTCAGGAAAGTAGGGTACAGCAGGTTGATGTCAGGGAAGAGTAGGGTACAGCAGGTTGATGTCAGGGAAAAGAGTAGGGTACGACAGGTTGATGTCAGGGAAGTGGGTACGGCAGGTTGATGTCAGGGAAGAGTAGGGTGCAGCAGGTTGATGTCAGGGAGAAGAAGTAAGGTGCGGCAGGTTGATGTCAGGGAAGGGGTGAAGTTGCGGCAGGTTGATGTCAGGAAGAGTAGGGTGCGGCAGGTTGATGTCAGGAAAGAGTAGGATGCGGCAGGTTGATGTCAGGGGAAAGAGTAGGTGCGGCAGGTTGATGTCAGGAAGAGTAGGGTGCAGCAGGTTGATGTCAGGTAGAGTAGGGTGCAGCAGGTTGATGTCCAGTAAGAGTGAGTTACGGCAGGTTGATGTCAAGGAAAGAGTAGGGTGCAGCAGGTTGATGTCAGGGAAAGAGTAGGGTGCAGCAGGTTGATGTCAGGAAGAGTGGTGCGGCAGGTTGATGTCAGGGAAGAGTAGAAGGTGCGGCAGGTTGATGTCAGGGAAAGTAGGGTGCAGCAGGTTGATGTCAGGGAAAGAGTAGGGTGCAGCAGGTTGATGTCAGGGGAAGAAGTAGGGTGCGGCAGGTTGATGTCAGGAAAGTAGGGTACGGCAGGTTGATGTCAGGGAAGAGTAGAGTTGCAGCAGGTTGATGTCAGGGAAAATGGGTACGGCAGGTTGATGTCAGGGAAGAGTAGGGTACGGCAGGTTGATGTCAGGGAAGAAGTAGGAGTGCAGCAGGTTGATGTCAGGGAAGAGTAGGAGTGCGGCAGGTTGATGTCAGGAAAGTAGGGTGCGGCAGGTTGATGTCGGGAAGAGTAGGTGCGGCAGGTTGATGTCAAGGAAGAGTAGGGTGCAGCAGGTTGATGTCAGGGAAGAGTAGGTGCAGCAGGTTGATGTCAGGGAAGAGTAGGTGCAGCAGGTTGATGTCAGGGAAGAGTAGGATACGGCAGGTTGATGTCACGGAAGAGTAGGGTACGGCAGGTTGATGTCAGGAAGGGTACAGCAGGTTGATGTCAGGAAGAGTAGAATTGGCAGGTTGATGTCACGGAAGTAAGTATGACAGGTTGATGTCAGGGAAGAGTAAGGTCCGGCAGGTTGATGTCAAGGAAGAGTAGGGTGCGGCAGGTTGATGTCAGGGAAGAGTAGGGTGCAGCAGGTTGATGTCAGGGGAAGAGTAGGGTGCGGCAGGTTGATGTCAGGGAAGAGTAGGTGCGGCAGGTTGATGTCAGGGAAAAGATGGTGCGGCAGGTTGATGTCAGGGGAAGAGTAGGGTGCGACAGGTTGATGTCAGGGAAGAGTAGGGTACGGCAGGTTGATGTCAGGGAAGAGTAGGGTACAGCAGGTTGATGTCAGGAAAGTAGGGTACGGCAGGTTGATGTCAGGAAAGTAAGATTGCAGCAGGTTGATGTCAGGGAAGAGTAGGGTGCGGCAGGTTGATGTCAGGAAGAGTAGGGTGCGGCAGGTTGATGTCAGGGAAGAGTAGGGTGCAGCAGGTTGATGTCAGGGAAGTAGGGTGCGGCAGGTTGATGTCAGGGAAGAGTAGGTGGCAGGTTGATGTCAGGAAGAGTGGGTGCGGCAGGTTGTCAGGGAAGAGTAGGGTACGGCAGGTTGATGTCAGGGAAGAGTAGGATACGGCAGGTTGATGTCACGGAAGGTAGGGTACGGCAGGTTGATGTCAGGGAAGGAGTCACGGCAGGTTGATGTCAGGGAAGAGTAGGGTACAGCAGGTTGATGTCACGGAAGAGTAGGGTACAGCAGGTTGATGTCAGGAAGAGTAGGGCACAGGAGGTTGATGTCAGGGAAGAGTAGGGGTGCGGCAGGTTGATGTCAGGGAAGAGTAGGGTGCAGGTTGATGTCAGGAAGAGTAGGGTGGCAGGTTGATGTCAGGGAAGTAGGGTGCGGCAGGTTGATGTCAGGGAAGAGTAGGGTACAGCAGGTTGATGTCAGGGAAGTAGGGTACGCAGGTTGATGTCAGGGAAGAGTAGGGTATCGGCAGGTTGATGTCAGGGAAGAGTAGGGTACGGCAGGTTGATGTCAGGAAGAGTAGGGTACGCAGGTTGATGTCAGGAAGAGTAGGGGCACGCATGTTGATGTCAGGGAAGAGAGGGTACGGCAGGTTGATGTCAGGGAAGAGTAGGGCACGGCAGGTTGATGTCAGGGAAGAGTAGGGCACGGCAGGGGATGTCAGGGAAGAGTAGGGTACGGCAGGTTGATGTGGGAAGAGGTGGCAGGTTGATGTCAGGGAATAGGGTGCGGCAGGTTGATGTCAGGGAAGAGTAGGGTGCGGCAGGTTGATGTCAGGGAAGAGTAGGGTGCGGCAGGTTGATGTCAGGGAAGAGTAGGGTACGGCAGGTTGATGTCAGGGAAGAGTAGGGGTAAGGCAGGTTGATGTCAGGGAAGAGTAGGGCAGGTTGATGTCAGGAAGAGTAGGATACGGCAGTGGGTTGATGTCACGGAAGTAGGGTACGGCAGGTTGATGTCAGGAAGGGTACGGCAGGTTGATGTCAGGGAAGAGTAGGGTACGGCAGGTTGATGTCAGAGTAGGGTACGGCAGGTTGATGTCAGGAAGAGTAGGGTACGGCAGGTTGATGTCAGGGAAGAGTAGGGTACGGCAGGTTGATGTCAGGGAAGAGAATGTGCAGGTTGATGTCGGGAAGAGTAGGGTACGGCAGGTTGATGTCACGAAGAGTAGGGTACGGCAGGTTGATGTCAGGGAAGAGTAGGGTACGGCAGGTTGATGTCACGAAGAGAATAAGGATGTCAGGGAAGGAGTAGGCAAGCAGGTTGATGTCGGAAGAGTAGGGTACGGCGGGTTGATGTCAGGGAAGAGAGGGTACGGCAGGTTGATGTCAGGAAGAGTATAGGTACGGCAGGCTGGATGTCAGGGAAGAGTAGGATACGGCAGGTATGTCACGGATATAGGTACGGCAGGTTGATGTCAGGACGGGTGCGGCAGGTTGATGTCAGGGAAGAGTAGGGTGCAGCAGGTTGATGTCAGGAAAGAGTAGGGTGCGGCAGGTTGATGTGGGAAGATAGGGTGCAGGCAGGTTGATGTCAGGGAAGAGTAGGGTGGGCAGGATGTCAGGGAAGAGTAGGTCCGGCAGGTTGATGTCAGGGAAGAGGTAGGGTACGGCAGGTTGATGTCAGGGAAGAGTAGGGTACGGCAGGTTGATGTCAGGAAGAGTAGGGTAATGCAGGTTGATGTCAGGGAAGAGTAGGGTACGGCAGGTTGATGTCAGGAAGAGTAGGGGTACGGGCAGGTTGATGTCACGGAAGAGTAGGGTACGGCAGGTTGATGTCAGGGAAGAGTAGGGTACTGCAGGTTGATGTCAGTAGGGTAGGCAGGTTGATGTCAGGGAAGAGTAGGGTGCGGCAGGTTGATGTCAGGGAAGAGTAGGGTGCAGGTTGATGTCAGGGAAGAGTAGGTGCGGGCAGGTTGATGTCAGGGAAGAGTAGGGTGCGGCAGGTTGATGTCAGGGAAGAGTAGGTACGGCAGGTTGATGTCGGGAAGAGTAGGGTACGCAGGTTGATGTCAGGGAAGAGTAAGGTGGCAGGTTGATGTTGGGGGAAGAGTAGGGATACAGGTTGATGTCACGGAAGAGTAGGGTACGCAGGGATGTCAGGGAAGGGTACGGCAGGTTGATGTCAGGGAAGAAGGGCTGCAGGTTGATGTCAGGGAAGAGAGGGTGCGGGCAGGTTGATGTCAGGGAAGATAGGGTGCAGGTTGATGTCAGGGAAGGTAGGGTACAGGATGTTGTGGTATAGGGTACGGTTGATGTCAGGAAGAGGTACGGGCAGGGTGGGTAGATGTCACGGGAAGAGTAGGGTAGCAGCAGGTTGATGTCAGGGAAGAGAGATATGGGTTGATGTCACGGAAGAGGTGGGCATGGCAGGTTGATGTCAGGAAGTAGGGGCAGCGGCAGGTGATGTCACGGAAGAGTAGGGTACGGCGGTTGATGTCAGGGAAGAGTAGGGTGTTGATGTCAGGGAAGAGTAGGGGTACGGCAGGTTGATGTCAGGGAAGAGTAGGTGTAGGTTGATGTTGGGAATATAAGGTACGGCAGGTTGACGGTGGGTGGATGATGGCTTAGCTACAAGGCATGTCAGTGTGGGGTAGGGTGGAGGGTGGATGTGATATTGTGGTGGTGTGGGGAGGGTGGAGGGACAGGGTTGGGGGTGTAGACAGGGGTTGGGTGTGTGGGGAGGGGTGGTGGCAGGACAGGGCTGTGGGTGGGGGGAGTGTGGTGGTAGGCAGGGTTGTGGGGGTGGGGAGGGTGGTGGCAGGATGGGGTGGGTGGGGAGGGTGGTGGTAGGACAGGGTTGTGGGTGGTGGGGAGGGTGGTGGGTGACAGGGTTGGGTGGTGAGGGTGGTGGTAGGATAGGGTTGTGGGTGGTGTGGGGGAGGGTGGTGGTGGGGACAGGGTTGTGGTGGGGGAGGGTGGTGGTAGGACAGGGTTGTGGGCGGTGGTGGTAGTAGGGGAGTTGTAGTCAGAGTTGTATTATCATATTGTACGTAAACCTAACGAGGAGACCTGCAGGAAGCTTAAGGCAAGAAAACTTTATAACTTCCTCTCAAAATTGTATCTTTCGCCAGGTGTGTTGTGTTGTGCACGGGGGGAGGGAGGGGGGAGGAGGGGGGAAAACCCGCTCGGTATCCGTGTTAGTGACCTCGTTTTGTGTGTGCTCCAGCAGGTGACTTGACTTTCCTCCTGTGTTTATCAGGTCTGGACAGGTGGGATTTTATTTGCGTGCTGAACAGACTGTGGAGGATTTTAATGAGGTAATTTCAAGAGTGGAATTCTCTATATGATATAATTATTCTTACTACAAATAATAATAATAATAATAATAATCTTGTTTACCTGTAGCTTGATAAAGAACAACAAAACACCAAGAGAATTACATTTAATGACAGAAATAACTACAAAAAGACTTACCTGTTTACTACCTGCGTCTGGAATAATTTATACCAGCAGCTTCATAAATCAGGTCTTACAAGGGAGTAAGTTGATTTTATCCCTAGAATGTGGAGTGTTGTTATGCTTGGAGACACGGGGCAGCTGGGACAGGTTAACACAGGGGAACAGGTTAGTTGAATATGTCACCTTGAAGGGTTCTGATGGCGAGAGGCTGTGAGAGAGAGAGAGAGATCAAGACTGGTAGATGTAGGATGAATTATAGTCGTGTTTCTTACACATGACATCGTTGCAGGCAGAAGGAGGCAGGTTCAACTTCCTCCGCCTATCTTTCATCGTCGGTGTTGGCAGCAGAAGGCGAGCTAACCTGCGTCCGCTGTCTTAACTTTTCATACGCGTGTCATTATCTGCTGGTGTCAGGGGGGAGGAGGGAGTGGAGTGGAGGAGGAGTGGAGTGGAGGAGGAGGGGAGGTGGAGGAGGAGGGTGGAGGGAGGTTGCCAGGCACTGTTGATTGCTGGTGCTGACGCGGCAGTAAAGCGTCTGATGGGGACCATGAGCCGTGGTAACTGTCCGAGTTGACCAGGCGTCATGAGGCTTGAGGGGTGGTGGAGGAGGAGGGAGAACAAGGCGAAGATAGAGGAGGAGAAGGAGATGGAAGAGGTGAAAGGAGAAGAAGAGGAGGTGGAGTAGTGGAGGGGGTGAAGGACAGCATTCGTCCCTTTATACCAGCGGTTCTTAACCTTTTAAGGGTCGTGCCCCTATAGCAGTTGGTCCTCCTCCTCCCTCCTCCTCCTCCTTCAGATAAAATTCCAAATCTAAAAAATCTTAAACAATTTCTTCTTGAATTAAATCGAAAATTAAGAAATTAGTTTTTTCTTTACGTTACTTTAATACCTTTAATTATTCAGAGTCTGTATAAGAAAACAGTGGCAATCAGTGTTGACAAAATGTGAATTATCGTACTGGAGCCTCCAAAATTATCGTTTCTTCATCAAATTATCGTACACTTCCGACATTACTGCCTAAATTCAGTCACTTTTGGTAGAATTTTATACTTTGATTGACGTAGTTACCATCGACGACATTTTGAAGTGTTTGTGGTGAGCGAGGACACCCCCGTTAAGAGCCGCTGCGCTATACTGTCACTGAGATTGGATATAATTTCGTCTCCTCAATTTAAACTCTACGAACTACCAAGAGTTGTCTTTAACTCTTGAACTACCAAGAGTTGTCTTTAACTCACGAACGATTTTAACTAAATAACGTGAAATATTTTAACTTACGAATTATATTTTGGTTTCTAAATTTACAAGTGAAATTAACTGAAGAACCAGAAGAAAACTAACTTACGAACGGTTTTTTTTAACTTAACAAACGATTTTTTTTGTAACTTACGAAAAAATCCTTAAGAACAATTTTAACAGAAGGGGTGAAATTTAAGTACAAATGAGAAAAACGTCAACATAGGAACCTGTAGACAAACCAGTAATGAATCAGTGTTTGGGTGGAAGGTTAAGGTGATCACCTATGGAGCACCACGGGCCTCCAGGGTAGTAGTGGTGGTCGTTGTCTGAGGGCTTACAAGGTCGTCACTCTGTGGATTAACCTGACGGGAGGGGTCGTTCCAGGGGTCGTTCCAGGGGTTCACAAGTGGCGTGGTAGTGTAATGTTTTTGGTGTGTGTGTGTGTGTGTACAGGAGGTATTAACAGTTTCCTGTACATACTCGTACAGTATTAAAGTCTCCTTGCAAACACACACACACACACACACACACACGTATCGTACCAACTTTGAACTTACTGGCATTAACCTCAGGGATTAGCACACATTACACAAGTCCTACCTGTGAGGCTTACCAACTTAATGCTAATTAGGGGAAGGTGTCTTAGTACACGAGGTGAATTATCCGGGGTTTACAGTCAGTGAATTATCCGGGGTTTACTGCACATAAATTATCCGGGGTTTACAGTCAGTGAATTATCCGGGTTTCTGCACATAAATCCATTTACAGTCAGTGAATTATCCGGGGTTTACTGCACACAAATTATCCGGGGTTTACAGTCAGTGAATTATCCGGGGTTTACTGCACATAAATTATCCGGGGTTTACAGTCAGTGAATTATCCGGGGTTTTACTGCACATAAATTATCCGGGGTTTACAGTCAGTG